TTTTACTCTGTGTAATTCCCCGCTTTGTATTCTGTATGAACTTCTTTAAAAAGCTGTGCTGGTACATGGTGATGAGCAAAGCAGTTGGTTCGACATGTGTCTAGGATACCTGGAAGGCCTTAGCCCTTGGGTAGTGCTGTGTGTTAGTCTGTGAGATGTTTTCCTCTGGCTTGCTGCCATTTCCATGGAAGAGACAGTGAACAGCTGTCCAGGTAGCACGTGGTGCAGTCATAGCTCCCATCCGTCTCCTGTGCCCGAACGTTGCGTGTTGCTCAGCATCTGGGTCTGTCTGTGAGAGGGATGGCTGGTATTGGAGGCACACTCAGCTTGCACTTAAGATGTTTTCAACCACAAGGGCTTTGCCGAAGTCTGTGTTGACTCGCCACTTGCAAGGCCTGTGATATCTTAATATATCTAGTGATGTTACATGTTGGTAAATTGTTCTCTTGTTGATAGGAAGCCAGTGTAGGATAGAAGTTGCTGCTATAATGAGTTCCAATACATAGCAGTTAAATGTCAAATCTGTGATACTTGAAACTTTAATTAAAAGAAAAAAAGGAAGACAGAAATAAGAAAAACAGTGGTGGTTTTAAGTGTTTTTTGTATAGGAGTCATACCTAGGGACTTGGATCAGTTTAATATCTTTTTTCTTGTGCCAAGTGAAATAACAATTGACCAAATGCTAATTGCTCTGCAATGCTTGTAAGGAATGTAGTATTCAGTGCAAAAAATATATCAAAACCAGAAGGGTAAGCTATCTGGAAGATCTAAGTAATGGTAATGAAATTATCCACTAACGTACATCTGTGTATAATTACAGCTTTCTAAACTAAAATGGTACTAGTCTTAAATTTCTTGTTGAATATGATCGTGTCTTGTTGTAGATGTGTAGAAATGCTGTAAAAATGTGTTTGAATCTTGCTTTGCACTTGTACTACCTCATCCTGCCTTTCCCCTCACCAGTCAGACCAGCTGCAAATGTGTAACTAATCATTTCATGAAACAATTTTTTCGAGTCTGATTCTCAAAACTGGAGTTTCATACTGCATTTTTGTTGTATCTCAAATTCAATCTACTGGGTAGTCTTAATGGAGCCAGTGAGTTGAGGAGGAAAAGTGCTAATAGCAAGCTTTGTAAACTGATGTAGGCTTTCTGAGGTATAGAGAGAGTTTACAGTATCCTGAAAGAAAAAGTTGCTGTACTTCAGTGATTAATCAGCCTAACCCCCCCCCCCCCCCCCCCCCAAACCCACCAAAATTTATTCTATTTAACCATAATGAATTGTGGTTATAGTTTGCAAGGAATGTTTTAACAAATTGGCAAGTAAACATACATCACCTTAACTTCTGAGCTTTGGGAGTAGCAAAGGTATTTAGATAATTGAATTTTTAAAGTTACATTTAATTTAGGTTTAATTGGTACATCCAAAATATTACTACAATACTGTTGTAAGATTTCCCACTGAATAGAGTCAAAAGGTTGCAATTTTATTTCTTCGCATGTCATCTGGTACTGAATCCGGAATTATGGGAAACAGTAACATGATGTGTAAAATTAATGTATGCCAAATCCCTGCAACATGTGCATTATAGCTGGTGTGTACTTATTTTGATGTTGCTATATGTCTCCTGGCCTGAGAAAATAACTGCATGAATAACAGCCACAAATGTATTAGTCTTGTGGCGATCCACGTGCATCTAATGTTTGGTTAGTGTCTATGCTAGTTGGCCAGCTACCTTTTTGGTTTTTACTAAGCTCAAAATACTTGTCCAGGTGTATTTACAGCATTTACATATTTAGGCTGTAGCCTGATATTGTCAGCTTTTTTTAGTATGTCAGGAAAATAGTATTTTAAAGTATTAAGCGCTAATAGTATTTTAATATAGCAAAGGCATTAGCCTTTCTGTTTAATTTTTGTTTATTAAATCTCTCTTGTGCTCTCATGATTAAAGAGTTGTGCCTCCTCTTAAATGGTTTCAGTTGCTTTCAGTCTTGCCTTAAGCTTAGCTTCTTGTATGAATGACTTTTGTCAGTGCAAGTATTGTTATCTTCTACCAGAAAGATTACTCATCAAATGCAAGTGGCTTTTCAAGATTGCACCAGAAGTTGGGATTTTATTTCACTCCAAGCAAGCTGAAAAATCAACTCTGTCCTGTGATGATGACAACATAGGAATGTCATTTGACCATATGGTTCATTTGTGTATTGCACCAAGTTAACATGCTGAAGCAATTTACAGTCAGAGTTGTAAAGAAACTGGTTGTATTTATGTCTATGGTTTTCATGTCTGCTTTCTTCTCCTATTTTGCACTCGAGTTGTCTCTAAAGGATATAACATATTGTTTGCCCCTAAAAGGCATGGGATGCCCACATGTACTTTCCAAATGCTTTAATGGGTGAAAGTTAGTGCTTACAACAGAACACCAGTTTTAGCAGAGTAGTCTGTTTTAAAAATCATTAAAATAGACTTCTTTGGGAGAACAAAAATACCACAAAGCCCTCATCTAGGGCACAAAGGTTCGAGGTTAATATCCCATACTCTCCTATCACTACACTGTTTTATAGGGAGTCCTAGGAGGCAAGCTGAACATCCAGCAATCTGTGGTGGGCACTTTCATTCTGGCAGCTTGGCTCCCCTCAGAATTTCTGAAGGCTGTACCCAAGTAATTTCCTAGAAGCCTTGAATTTGTAAGAATTTAAAATGACATTTAGCTATTAGATCTCTAAATCTAACCTTTGCCTTTGGTAGTTTGTGTTAATTAAACCCCCACCACCACAACAAAACCAAAGTGGAAGAACTTGATAAATAGTCATGCTTAATGGCACATGGTCCTCAGCTGGTAGGATTAATGGGAAGACAGAGGGTTTCCCCTAAAGGCTTAAAGGGGAGGGGCAGGAAGGAGGATGAGGAAGCACTCGGTAGTTTTTGTTTAACTACAGGAGAAATCCCTGCAATTTTTTTTGGTTGCTTAATGGATGTTTTGTATTTATTTTTCAACTTACATAGTGGGGTTTTTTTTTGTTTTTTTTTTTTTAGACTTGTTACAGTAATTTGGGACAGTGAAGAGCTTGGTGGAATTTTGCAAAATTTGACATTCTTACTGGGAAGATTTTTTCATCCACCTACATTTGATACTTGCACTTATTAAGTGTTTCCATAGCATTGCTATCTTTTAACATGGTGCACAAAGCCAAATAACTAGTGAAATACAACTTCCCAGAACCATAGAAAGTTTCTGTTTCAATATGCTGGTGGCACTCAGTGCACAGTAAAAGATACTTTCCCTTGCCAGCATAAGCCTTGATAACTTTCTTGAAATGTGGTGAGGTTTTTTTTGTGGGGGGTTTTTTCTTTATTTTTATTGCTTTAATCTTTATTTAAGTAAAGCTATTGATGTCCACAAGGCCCAGTAACCCAAAGCATGGACCATATGGTGAATGTAGTATAAGAACCTCGACAAATTCTCTCTCTCTGATATACTCAATGCACAATTCTATGAAAAACGTGCATTTGTAGCATTTCATTCTTAACTGATTTAGTGTTTATATGGCTGTTCTCTGAAAATGATTAACAATTACAAAAAAGCATCAGTATTCAGTTTTGCATTTCAGTATTTCAGAAAGCCTTCTTTTCCAAAATATTTCTAGCTATTAGTGCCTACCTAATGTAGACACTTAAGCTGAATTTACATTGGAAAATTCAGACATGCCTGGGGACTTACTGAAATGATACCATTTGTGGTTGACATGTTCCCCAACATAAATCTGGCCTGTTCCAACTACTTGCTCTTCTACCCAAAGAATTCTCAGGTGCGGCTTAGGAGCCGGGATGGCAGAGACAGTTTACAGTATGCACTTGGCACACCATCACCCTGTTCTGGAGGCTCAGGCAGATTCCTACAAGAGATACAAACCATTCTGCACTGCTGGCTTCAGTGACTGGTAATGTTTCTAGGCACGCTTGATTTCTTAGTATAGGCATAGCATTGCATCTTCTTACATGATGTAGTAAAGGTGTTGCCTTTAGTGGGGTTGTGCAAATAAAGCCAGTGTTATAATTGGGACTTCTTCAGTGCAGACTTAGGGAAGGCAACGGAATTTCCTTTGGCAAGTGTGCGAGAATAACTGAAACTGTTGGCATTTAATTCAGTTGGCTAAATGTAGTGTGCAAATTGGCATGCAGTTGCTAATTATGCGTGTGTCTGGTTTTTGTTAAAAAGTTAACTTCTTCTCCACTTCTTCCAAATGCACAATGTGGTAAGGACCCAATTCAAGCTTGATGACTTGTATGGGTTTTGGTAATAAGCATAGAAGAGCGTTTTTCTCTGTTGATAGGAAAGTAAGATTTATAGATTTTTAGAATCAATGTTGGAAATTTGGGGGGGAGAGATGAAACTTATTAATACTTTTTTCCCCCGCTCTCTAAATGGGTACTATCAATATTACTGGCATTGCAAATCCAGTGGTGTTGCCTGTGAAACCCGTGATAAGCTCCACTGAAATGAAGACATGAAAATAGCAACTTGCAGATATTTTGGAACGTTTTTTCCAATTGGAATGCTGCCACTGTGGATACAACTGCTAGATAACCTGACTTCTCTTTTTCTGATAACTTTCCTAATTTGGCCTGTTCCTCCCTAGAGGAGCAGGGCTTTCTTCAGGTTTTGTTTAATTGTTTTGCCTGCCTTGCTCACTTGAATATTACTGGGGTGTTTTTAATTAATAAATTTATTATTTTATTTTTCCTAATATGTTTCCTTCTTAAACAATTTTTTCCCCTCAAGTAAGATTTGCTGCATAAATTAAATGCAAAAGCCTGTCTTAAATTTTTGTTCTTAAATTATGTTTTTCAAGTAATGGAGGAAATCAACCTTTCTCTTACAACCCAAAGTTAGCTCTCTTGGACCACTTCCTGAGTTTAAAACCCACAAAGCTTAGTTATTGCTGTTTGCTTTGAAAACACAAAATTTAAATCAATTAAGGAGATTATTTTAAAGATTATGTACTTTTTTCAGGAGGACCCAAATGATATCAACCCCAAAAGGAAAGACGTGCGTGGCAATGATGGGGAGGACAAAGCACAAAGTGTGGAAACGCTACCTCCAGGTATTGCAGTAATGTTTGTTATGAAAGATCCGTAGCCATAAAATATTTATCCTTGAAAGCCATAAAACATGGCAGTTGTGATTTATTCTTTGTAGTTTGGAAGTGCTAGGATTATTTTAGTAATATGTACTTCTGTATTCTTAAATCTTTAGCTTCCTTAAATTTCACCTGCTTCATTACTCCTTTGGGTTTAAAACCACAGAGAATGTGACTCTTTGCTAGTACATTTGTATTGTCCTGCAATAGATTTGAGCTCCCATAAAAGCCTCTGGTACAAGAGTAGTCCATTTCTCTTGATGGATAGTGCTGGCAGGCAACAGACAAGTCGCCTTGGGACTGTGCTTCTGATGGAAGATTCAGCCAAGGTTCATACTTTTTTAGTTTCATCTAGCTTTTGAAGTGGCAGTTTTTCCTGAGTGCACCAATGCTGTACCTTATTTTTCTCATACTTGCTCAGTATTTGTCACATGCTGGCAAATAAAAAGAACAATGTGAATTTTGTTTAATTGAATGAAATGGTCTCATGTCTTGAGGATGAGCTAGGAAAATTAGGTGTTAAGGAACCTTCATTTTATATGACTGCTTCCATGAAACTTCTTTTGCTGCTTAACTGTTTCACATCAATGAGATTTAATATATAGCTAGAATTGATGTACCAAGGAATACAGAAATAGTAAAATGGATTTGAATATTTTACATTGTATTCAAAAAATCTACCATACAAGGAGCACAACTTCTGATCAGATAGCTTCACAACATGTTTTACTCTTCTTCAATTAATCCTAATGTTCGCCTTACAAATTTGTCTTAGCCAAACATGTGAAGTACTATGAGGTTTTGAAGAAAGAACTAACCAAGGTAAATTTTCCTTTAGGCAGCTGGAAACTTCCATCCCCAATAATGTGTGAGGTATGATTTTTGGTTTACAGTGTTAGACTCCTGATACAGTATAAGCTGTTTGACACTCATGGCTTTTTTTCTGTAGTCTTTGGCCTACCTTGTCTTAGCTGCTTTCTGGAGAGGGGAAACAAGACTCTTGATTATATATGCTTTTTTGGCAAAACCTTTGTGTGTGAATTGGGAAATAAATCCTAAAAAGTTGAAGCGCCTGGCTTATTTAACTTGACTTCTGGCAGATCTTTCCAAGTATCTTTTTTCCTTAACAGAACTCTCTGCAAATATCGTTACTGGGATTATAGGTCAGCCAATTTTGCACCTTCCAGCTACTATTCTTATTTCCCCTTTTTGAATGTTTATGTATTCTGAGCCAAACCCTATACATTTCCTCTAAGACCTTCCTTTCCCAGTGGCCCTAAACAGCTATTTGAGTATTAAAAGAAGTGGGAAATGTCACAGGTTGAAAGGTAGAGACATCAGAAGCTGAAAGGGTTGAAGCTAGAAGTAAAATTAAGTGTAAAGTAGAGCAGGTCAGGGTTTTTTTCATTTCATCTGTTTATTAGTAATCTCTTATGGCTTGATTTAACAGACAGGAGAATCGTTATTGCAAAGTAGCATGAAAGTCTTGAGTCAAACATCAAAGGCTACACAAAGAGAATTATGCACTCTTAAATCACTGTTTTGGTTATTTTTAATTCGTGTAGGCAAACTTTTGAATCCTTATGGCAGTGAAGCTTGGAATTCATGTTTCTGCAGGTTCTTTGCCCTGTTTTAAAGCAAAGTGATCAAATTTTAGGAGGGCTTTGGTTCAAAACTTTCTTGCTTTTCCACTGAGGTTAGGAGACCTGTAGTTTAGGTTTCAGCATTATGCTGTGTGGTAGCTTTCAGAACTTCTCAGATTTAAGGAATTGTTTATTATCTTTACCTTTAAAATAGCTTTATGTAAAGATTAAACTGTTGGGGTGTTTAACCTTCTGTATGTTGGAGTGTACCTATTCTTTGTCATTTGGTGACTTTTTTTATATGCTGCAGAAGTCTATTTCTTCTTTTGTAAAAATAGCGATGTTAGCTCTTGTAGTTAGAAAGACAACCGTGAACTGTCTGTGTGGGTAACTAAAGCAAAACTGTATAACCAGCTCTCTGTAATGGTCGGAGTTTCAGCAGTTACTCAAACAGCTCTCTTTGTTAGTTAATGAAGAACTGGAATCTCTTAATGCCTGTAAGTCAAAATAATCACTATATATTGAGTATCCTACTGCTTTTAAGCTGTATTGAGTCAGTAAGAGGGAGTGCAAGCTATTTAGGGGATGTTGTATCCATCTATTGCTACTCTTTGCCTGCTGCTTGGCTGCATGCAGATTTATCTGCTATGCTTTTTTTTCTTTTCAATCTCTCTTTGAGTTGCTCTTACTGTTATCTGACTCTTCCTTAATAGATCTGATTCATATTGCACACAGTTGGCAGGGCCTTCTGCTGGAGCCAGAGCCAGGCTTTGCCTCCTTCCTGGCTCCTGAAGCCAAACTCACTTGTTCTTATATTCTGTGGGCTGTCACTGCTTTTCAGTAAATTTAGGCCTGTGAAGAGGTCTCTGTTCTTTCTTCTCAAATTTACTCTATGCTTTCTGGACTAGTGTTGCATTTGCTGGTTTTAAAGTCTTGGAAATGGTAAATGATGCATTTTGAATGATTTATGTCAAGCTCTACTTGGATGGAAACTGGAATGGAATAAAATGTACCAAACTAGCACTATTTTTTAAATACAGCTACTTATTACAGAGGAAAAAAAAACAAGTAGCTCCTATTTAAAATCAACCAGCTTATTATTAAAAATAATATCAGTAAATTGCACTATTTTTGTTGATTGCCTTCCCCAGGACTTCAGAGTTGGGAAATACCTGGGACAAAAAGAAGCAGCTTCACTGGATTTCAGCTTTTTCTTGTTTCTACTCAGCTTCTCAGGCTCAGAACAGTCTGTAAAATACACAGTTCTTGTCAAAACTAAGTTTAGCACTGCAGCATACCCTGGTTCTAGGTTCTTAGCTGGTTCAGTGATTACTTTGGCTCTATTTGACTCTGGTAGCAAACTCTGCAGTTCATTTACTGTTGAGTTTAAAAGATTAATTTATTGTCATGTTAGGTCTCAGTGCATGTAAACACTCATTTGCTCGAATATAAAGTTACAAAGTTGTTTAATTTAAGTTTGAAATAATGTAGTTACGTTTTCTGATATTCATTCCACCTGGCAAAGTCATTGAAACTCAGGAAATTAGAGCCAGCTAACTCCCCAGAAGAAATGAAATCAAACATGCTCCTATTTGTGCACCCCAGGAAAGCGTACAACAGAGGCAGTACCTATTATTGGAAAAAGTCTTGTTAAACCACTTCTAACTTCAAAATTCAGTTGATAAAATGTCAGAAAGGAAAGCCTTTCAGCAAAAGTAAGGCTGGAGAGTATACTTGGAATCATAGAATCACTGAGATTGGAAAAGACCCTTAAGATCATCAAGTCCAACTGTTAATCTAACACTGCCAAGTCCACCACTAAACCATGACCCAAAGTGCCACATCTGCACATCTTTTAAATACCTCTAGGGATGGGGACTCCACCACCTCTCTGGGCAGCCTGTTCCAATGCTTGACTACTCTTTCCGTGAAGAAATTTTTCCTAATATCTAATCTAAACCTCCCCTGACACAGCTTAAGGCCATTTCCTCTCATCCTATTGCTTGTTACTTGGGAGAAGAGACCAACAGCCACCTCACTACAACCTCCTTTCAGGTAGTTGTAGAGAGCAATGAGGTCTCCCCTCAGCCTCCTCTTCTCTAGGCTAAAAAACCCCAGTTCCCTCAGCTGCTCCTCATAAGACCTGTGCTCCAGACCCTTCACCAGTTTTGATGCCCTTCTCTGGACACGCTCTAGCACCTCAATGTCTTTCCTGTAGTGAGGGGCCCAAAACTGAACACAGTATTCGAGGTGCAGACTCACCAGTGCTGAGTACAGGGGGACGATCCATTCCATGCTCCTGCTGGCCACACTATTTCTGATACAAGCCAGGATGCTGTTGGCCTTCTTGGCCACCTGGGCACACTGCTGGCTCATGTTCAGCTGTCTTTTGGCCAATACCCCCAGGTGCTTTTCTGCTGGGCAGCTTTCCAGTGACTCTTCCCCAAGCCTGTAGTTGTTGTGACCCCAAGCATAGAGTTGTTGTGACCCAAGTGCAGGACCCTTAGCTTTGGATCAGCCTTTCATTTTCCAGCAGTCGACTTGAGCCATTAGTACTTGTAACCATGTGGGCAGCCCATGTTACACGTTGTAGTTCATAAAGAACACAACCTGTTTAAGAAGAATGCTTGTGATGGCATCACCTGTACCACTATTGTGATGCCCTCATGACCTTATGTGTTTTTTAGCTACTCTTTCTACTGGATGGAACGCAACTAGAGGAGGGGATGGGGGTGGCAGTCCTGATGCAGGTATAGCACTAAAATCCATTGGAAGTTGGAGTGTTTGAAATTTGGAAGTTCTATATAAATGCATTTTAGTGTAGGTTATATTTTGTAAAATGCACTAACATCTTTATTTTTAGACTGGAAAAGCAATGACATGACATGTCCTGTATTTCAGAAAATATTCAACATATGTTCCAGATTGAAGCTATATTATAAATTAGAAGCAAGGGTGATAATATAGTTTAGTTACCAAGGAGGCTGCAAAAGTGTCAGGAAATGCTGAGGGAGAGAGTTATATAGGGAGATGATCTTGTGATCTCTGCTGTTTCTTCCAGTTTCCTGAATTAAGCCACTGTGTATTTTGTATAGTTTTGTTGAAAGTAAGCTTTGGTGTAATTTTTGTAAACAATTCTGTATTGGGTTATTTGTAGTGTGGTAACTGGCTAAGGTGTAAACTTGTTTTCAAAGTAAGTTCCTGGAAATATTTTGAAGAAAAAACTTGAAAGGCTAAGAAAAACTCTTGGCAGTCTGTGGGCTACTAACAACAGCTGGAAAGCTTCCTTTTTAGAATTCTTTCAGTAACTGGAATTTGAAAATCTGTATTTCTCCAGTCGTTTTCCTATAATTTGCCCTCTGGGCTGCTTCACCAAGTGTCTATTAAATGCTCTGCAGTCTGTTTTTGTTGAACTCTCTACTTCTGGCTTCTGTGTATGTGTGTGCATGTTTTAACTTCTTTAGGATGGTAATTCAGATGTAAAAGTAGTTGCTTAGTATTAACTGGTTAGCTCTTAAACCAGTAATCCAAAAGTATGGGCCCTTTTATGCTGTGACTTTACTTGGATGTTGGAATTTTCTTAAAAACAGACTAACCAACCCAAAACCACCTCTGCCCCCACCCCCCCAACCTTGATATGTTTGCCTTACAACCTCCACTACCATCTGATAACCAAATCACACCTTGGGTCCAAGTTGCTCTTGTAGATGATCCTGAGATCATAGAGAATTTTTAGGCAAGTTGGTGGTATTTGTCTGGTTAAACAACAGACAGTTATTTTGTTTAATGATGGAAAGTGTTCTTTCAGTATCAATTGTCTAGCAGGAATTAACACACCATAGTTGAGGCATGGCTTATGGATAGAAGTCTGCCTTAGTTTCCATGCTGTGCAGGTTGAGAAACCGAGCAAAGGCAAACTTTGAAACATTTAAGCAACCTCTGACTCTTGTTAATAGCTGTTAGAGTAGCATTCCCTCTACTCATATCAGCTTAGTTTAGGATATGCCTGAGCTATAATATTTGTCTAAAAGCTGAGCTTGAATGGAGTGACATCTCTGCAACCTGGTACTTACTGAACTTAATTGAAAGTACCACAAAAACTTTGTATGTTAATTCTGAAAACAATGAATTTTAATTCCTCTCATCTGTAATAAACAGTGACCTCGAAAGACAGCTTTTGCTTTGTATTTTTTTTTTATGCCAACAGCATGCTGTGCTCACCACAACATGCTTGCAGGAGATTCTCATACACATCCACGTTAAAACAAGAACGTCTGTATCACATTAGAACTTCAGCTCTGATTTTGAGTTAAAGGTGGTATAAATTTGCTGTAGGCAGCATAGGTTTGGCTGTCGATAGGCAAAAAAATAAATGCTCAGCCAGAAGTAAGAACTGATAGTTTTAAGACATTTGATAAATACCATACTGTTGTTTTGTACCTGAAGATGGTGAAAGTTCCAAAGCTTTATTCCTGGTGGCTGGATGCTAATCTACCTTTCTGTGTTAGTGCCACAACCAGTCACATCATAACACAGTCCTTGTTAGAGGGATTAATCTATTAGTCAGTTCTGATTGTAAAGGAGGTTGCAGTTATGTCATATTGGAGGGCGATCTAGTGTTCCACCTACATGAAATGCTGGGTTTTGAGAATAATGTTGCCTTATGCTTCTTAAAGGCCTGTTCCTCAAATGATTTGATTATAACTGACTGGGTTTTTACTTACGTAATGAGACAGTAAACTAAACTGTAAGGTCTTTGAAGTCTGGACTGCATCTTAAAAAATAAATGTTACTTGGGTAACTTTATAGCCAGATCATCTGCCATACTAATGCCTGTTCATATGTGGAGGGTTTGGGTTTTTTTTAATGGAAGTTGTGGTAGTTTGGGTTAAAAAAACCCAACAAACAAAACGGACAAGATGAAGCACGGTCTGGTGATTACAGATCTCTCTTTATACAAGTAAAATTGTTCAATTTTATATTAATTTGTAAGGTGTTCTAGAGGAATTTAATATGCAAAAGTGACTGCTGTTACACTTAACAAGACTGTTGAAGTTTAATTACTTTGTTGCAAAATTAGAAAACGAGCTATTTCATCAGTTATGTTTGGATTGCTGAATGCTGTTCTTTAAATTGCGAAGATTAAATTGGATATTTTCCTGTTTTTCTGTTGTAGGAAAAGTTCGGTGGCAAGACTTTGATCAAGATGCTTATGTTGGCGCTACCATGGTGCGATCTGGTCAGGATCCATATGCCCGCAATAAGTTCAATCAGGTAGAAAGTGACAAACTGCGAATGGACCGAAGCATTCCTGACACTAGGCATGATCAGTAAGTGCCAGCCTGAGCCATGTTTGACTTGGATTAACTTTTTTGTATTTATGGTTTTTGAGCAGCAGGTGGTTTTTCTGAAGTAGGAGCTCTCCAGCTTTCAAAATGACAGGAACAGTAAAACTGTGGTGGTATCTTTAAACAGTGGGTTAAAGAACAATGAATCTTACTCAAGTTTTTCTGGTTCCATTACTTCCATCAGCATATTTTCTATATCCAAAGTGATGCTGCATTTCAGTCTCTTTTTGTTCCTGTTTATCTGATGGCTTTTCTTGGTTTCTACATTTGTAAGTCTCTTTCACTGTGAGGATGATCAAACAGTGAAGCAGGTTGCCCAGAGAGGCGGTGAAGTCCCCAAGCTTAGTGATATTCAAAGCCCAATGCACAGCCTGCTGTAGCTGGCCCTGCTTTGAGCAGGGAGTTTGGACTAAAAGATTTCCAGGGGCCCCTTCCGATCTCAGTTGCTCTGTGATTCTGTTCTAAGTATGTGATGATTGTCAACTCCAGACCTAAAGGAATCCATTTTTGCACACTTTGGTGAACGTAGGACAGAGTTACACTTCAGATACTTAAAAACTTCTGCTATGTTAGGCTGCTGCTGCAGATTCAGGAAATAGTAAACTTCCGAGTAAGGAAAAATATTATTTTCTTGTGGGTAGAGAAGACTTCCATTTAAAAAAGAGTTTGAGTGACTTGCACTAATCTTGTTTAAGCAGAATTGATTAATATTAAAACAACAGTTGCTCATTAGGGCTTCCATAACTTAAAGAAAAATTACAAAAGCAGGTTGAACTTGCTCTTAAAAACCAGGCATGCATAGTCTCAAAGCCTAAAATTAGCCAACTGTGTATAGTTAATTTGCCTAACTAATTCTACAGTTAGGATGAACGTACATTCACAGCTTTGTAGGTAAAGAAGCTGGAGGAGACACCAGAGGGAGAGAGAAAAGGAAGGTGCCTATTTTTTCCTCCATAAAGAGCTTTAATCAGGAATGGCATAGCAAAGGAGATGTGTATAGAAACTCAGACCCTTGCTGTGTCATTTTTAAATCCCTTGTATAATAGCATGGGTTTAGGTTCCTTTAAGCAGATGATAAGTAGATAAGGTAAAGCAAGTCTTGTATAATTTGCCATTAATTGAATGGGAGAGTAGGAAGAATCTGGTGTTTCGCTTGTTGCTGTGAAAGCAGTGAAAAGTACAATGCCCATGGTATTCTGGGGAGTTTAAAATTACTTTTGAATTTTCTTCATCACGTATACTTCTTTCACAAGAAATGCATTCTAACTTTTTAGACCAGGTATTCTTTTTCCACAAGAGCAAAGCTCAGCCACCAACTTCTAGAAGCTTCAATGATTCAGATAGGCTGAATTTAGAATTTTTCTAGATATTTAATAACCTCTGAGGGGGGTCTAACAGGCAAATGCTCTTCCTTGAGAAGAACTTAAATAAGAGAGATGACAGGAGACAAATTATGTTACAGTGGCTATGTTTGTTTTAACTGTCAGTGTTGTCATTATATGCTGACCTGCCTGGGTTTTTTCAATAAATGGAGCTGGAAAAGAAACCTGCAATGGAGAGAGAGTGAGAGAGATGTTTCTGGGGAAAGGCTGTATCTGTGCTGTGATTATTACTTAGACTCTACCATGGAGCAGATTTAAGTGCCCATCAGTCTGTAAATGGTCATCTTTTTAAAGAAAAACAACCAAGCAACCGAAAACAAACAAACAAACAAAAAAACCCAACCAAAACCCAAACTGAAGCAGTCATTCCTGCAAATTGTTCATGATGCTTTCCCTGCCATGTTGCAGTTAATTTTCCTTCTCTTTTGGCAAGGACATTCACTGCAAAATCTGAAAGTCACATGAAATATTTGTTTGGGAAATGTCCAATGGAAAGAGCAAGAGCAATAGCCGTAGGAAGAATAATATGTTACAGATCTGAGCACGTGACACTTGGAAGCACGTTATTTTCAATAAAACTGGAGGCAACTGGGTTAAGATTAAGACCTCTTATGGAACTGCTACAATCTTTTTCTTTAAAAAAGAAACCTGGTTGAGGAAATACTTGTTTCTGCTTAAGCAACTTTTTATTAAGTGTATTGATGCGCCTAAAAGGCTGTTTGATTCTAAAATAACTACATAATAATACTGTTTAATTGCTGAAAACGTCCAAGCTGTTTAGAAGCAGTTTATCAGGATTCTACATTAGATATGTAAGTGTGTGTGTAATTATGCATCTTTTTTTATACTACATTGTTTAGTCTATTCTGCATTGGACAAAATTTTACTAGCATCAGGTTAAGACCAAAGTTTTCTACTTGCTTTTTGTAAAAGCCTGCCAGCAGTACTAGAAAATACTTTGGTTCGCCTGTTTAAGCTGCTTGCCTTTATTTTAAACAAAAGGGAGAAGTGAGAAACAGGTGGATATAACATAAGAAAGGAAGCAGAGAAAGGAGGGAGGTCTGAGCAGGACTGCAGATTTGCACTCCAGCTGATACTCACAACTGCCACTTCCAACAGCTCTGAGAACCCTCTGGGTTTCTTTCTGTTGCAGTCTGTTTATGATGTGTAACTGAGAGCTATCCCTGTCATGGTAGGTTTTGGATATCCAGAAAGTGTGTCACAGTTGTAATATGAAACTTCCAGACCTGTCCTTCTGTCAGTATAAAATAGTCTCCCAAGTGGGGTGAAGAGTGAACTACTCCATGGTTTTTGTGGACCAATGTCCATCACACTTACTTTGGACCAGTGGTTTCTGATCATGTCTCTTACCTGATGTGGTGGCATGATTCTTGAGCATTACTGGTAAGTACTTTAGCCGGACTAAACCGTGCTTTCTTTCTCATTTGGCAACTATTAGAAGATTCTGACCTCACCCTCAAGTTTTATTCTTAAGTAGAGAAGAAACACTTTCCTGTCTCTTCGGTACCCAGATATCTGTTGAGGTGAATGTTATTCTTGCACTGGTTAAAGTGGATATTTCTGTCAAAAAATAGTTTCAACAAACCATGGAGGTTTCAGAAAACTTGTTAATGGTATGAACTAGTCCAGTGACTCAAATTTCTGGGGGAAAGAATGTACTTTTGTTTTAACTGATTTTAATGACCTATGCTAAGCATTGAAGGTCTAGATTGAAGTTTTCAGTTCAAGTTCTATTTTATCCAAATGTATTTTCTCATCCTGCATGTAAAATTAAGTGCAGTAACTTGAGGAAAGAAAGTCTAATCTCTGTGCCAAAAGTGATGACATTGTTTCTTTGGCTTGAGTTTTAACTGTGGTGCTATTGACACAGCAGAATAGGAGGAGGACTGCTACTGAGTCAGTTAAAGCAGGGGGTTTTGAAGAGCTGAGAGCAGAAATACTCAGTGAAACATTCCTCCAGTTTTATTTGGAAATCTAAAAATCTCAATTTCTCCCTCAGAAATATGCAGTAGTGCTCTTCTCTTCAGGTTTCTTAAAATTGAGAGGCTTCATTGCCTTGAGTAATTCCACCTTAAGATGTGCTCTGGCTCAAGCACTGTCTTCTGCAAAGATATCAGTATAAGTTTAAATTGACTTGTTTAATTATTCTAATGCAAGTGCTTCATGTGATAACTGCATGCACAGTAGGCTTGTCCTCTGTGGGCAATTTGAAAGTTAGCAGAAAAAAGATTATCTTTTTGGGCACTTAGGCTTTGGTGTATAATATCTGGGTGTCTCGTAGCTGTCTAGATGAATTGCCAGAAGCTCACAATAGAGAAGGTCTTAATTCTTTACTTTCCAGGAATGCATACAAATTTGTTATCTATTGCTTCAACGCTGGGCACTAGTGATGAAGCCATCTTGTACGCCCACCCTTTGAGAAGCAAAACTAGATAAGGCCTTGCTAATCTGACACAGCAATTTTAGGGTTGGCATGGGCTTTTTTTTCTTCAGAGTGAGTGGGATCACCACAACACAATAACGTTTTGTTCCACGGCAAGCACTAACATGTGTGACATTATGGGTGCGTTGTATCAAAAACACTGCAGGTCCTTGGGATTTTTGTAGGGTGGGCAAGGGCAAGAAGCGCATTGCTGCTTGCTCTCTGATTCCAAGATGTTGAAGGTTGCGTGGTTTATGATCTATGTCACAGGTGTTTAATGAGGTGTGCAGTGGCATTTTATATAGGCAGAGGCCTAGTTTTAGAAGTTTAGGCAGCAATATGCAACTTGCCTCTCTTCCCTTAAAAGCTAGTTTGATTAATACTGCACAGAGCACAGAATTACTTGCTGAATTTGCTACAGGCGTATGCTAGCTGGTTTTATCCCCTCTGAAGACAATTAGGCCTGTTTAAAACTCTACCCCTAATATTAAGTAAAGGATATGTGAAGAAATACATCACTTGTGTATGTTACTGCATGAATGGGGATCAGCATCGTGACCTCTCAGACTGTAATGCTTTCAGCATAAACTTGATATACAGTGTTTTCTAGTACTGTTAGTGTCTAATACAATGACAGTAGTGTCTTTTTTTAGGTTTATTATCAGTAGATTTAAACAGCTTAACTTTATGTAGTCCTGCAGGAAGTATCTTGGGATTTGCCTCTTTTTGCTTATTATATTAATTTCAGGCTACTAGAGATGATGAAAAATGAATTGACATAGATGGAAGATAATGATATCGTTATGGTTTGCAAGGATGTGGTTCTGTGTTAAGTTGGCTCAATGTTGTCACAGCTAGCTTTGTTTTTCAAATTCTGAATGTTACAATCCTTAAAAGCAGTTTTCTCTTCTTCTGAGAAGTTGTATTTGTGAGCAAGACCAGGATGCCACAGTAGCTTTAAAAATAAAGACAGAAGTAGACACATGCCATTCTGAAGAGGAGACATACGGTAGCTTGTGAACCTGTGCATTTTCATTGAAAACATGCTCATTTGCTTAGATTTATTGAATGCTTTTAAAGTAAAATAAGTGCTCAGGTTTCATACTCAGTTGCATGAAAGGTATTTACGACATACTGCAGTGATGATAGTCCGGTGACTTTTCTGAACCTGCCTATATCTGACGCTGACTTCTTAGTATGTTGTGTACTAAGACAACTACCAAAAGTGGTGGGAGTTGATTATAATCTCACCTGAAAAAAAGGTATTTCATTCTTCCTAGGTAGATGTTGTTTGTACATGAGTTTAATAGATAACTGCTTCACAATGAAGGCTGTCTGCTAAGCCTGGGCTGTAAATATTATGTTCAAATGACAGGGTATTATGTCTTTCAGGTGTCAACGGAAACAATGGCGGATAGATTTGCCAGCCACTAGTGTGGTGATCACCTTTCATAATGAAGCAAGATCTGCTTTGCTTCGAACTGTCGTCAGGTATACCTAAGAGAGACTTTGATTTGTCCCTAAAGGCCATTCATTTGTGTCAGATAATGGTTTATGATAAGGAAGAGAAGTAACAATCCGTTATGCTTTTTCTGAACCATTTGCAGAGGGAAAGATGAGTCTTAATTTCATTGATGCCTCCAGTTCTTATGTTCTGAAATAGCGATGTTAAACAAAATTGCTCCCCTTAACTACAAGTGCATGGAAGTGTGCAACCAATTATCAGATGATGTGTGGAGGTTGGCTGTGTAACTAGTTTCAAGAAAAAATTGGGGAAGATGGATTCTCAGGGGATATTTGACCTAAAGATATCTGCAAAACTTCAATGTTACACGTTGTCTAATGCACTGATTTCTGGAAGGTGGCGTTTGGGGGGGGGAACAATTCTACATGTGCCTCCCTTCACAAACACTTTCCATAAGAATAAGCCAATAGCTGTTGTTGAAGATAGCATCCTGGGCTAGGTTCTGCTGTGGCTTGAAGTAACTGCTTTTATGACATTGTTATGGAAAATTAAGACTGCTTAGTATTTAATGCTTTTTTTTAATTACTATTTTTGTCTGTTTCAGTGTCCTTAAAAAAAGCCCATCACATCTTATTAAGGAAATCATACTGGTGGATGACTACAGTAACGATTGTAAGTACTTTTACAGGGTCCTAACTTTATTTTGTTTATTCTGGTAACACTTTCTGTAAATGCTAGTAGGTGACTCGCTTGAGAATAGGTCACATGAATAGGAGTTCTCAGAGACTGATCCAAACCCAAGTCTTAATTCTTTTGTATGTGTCATTGTGGAAATTTGAAGAGTTCTGATAAGTACTTCAGGTATATTTTATTACTTCCTGCTAACTGAAGGAGTAGAGTGTATAGTTGAAAACAGCCTTTACATAGCTTGTTATCTGATGTAAAAATAAAACCCATAATGCTTGCACCAAGTGTTTTTGTAGCACTGCTTTAAATGAATGCTGTTCTCCATCAATCTCTTGGAAAAATTCTTACTGAATCTAAAATAAGTCAAGGTTTTATAAGTACTAGGGTATCGCAATACAAACTTAAACAATTGGCATGGACCTCCAAGTAACATTTGTTCAAGGAAGTTAATGTCTACACTTGCATTGCTAGTTTATAGCTAGTTTAAGATAGGTTTAAGCCTTAATGTTGGTTAAAAAGTGAGCTTTCTTATATGCAAAGAAAACAGTTAATCCTCAAAAATAGTTTAATCCTATAAAAGATTTTTTTTCCTTATGCAGTGTAGAAGCTGTTTAAAGTAAGCAAAGAGAATATTATTAAATAAAAATACTTCAGGAGTCTAAAATTAAATGAGCTTTAAATAACATAATGAGGGTAGTAATTTCTTAGCCTGGTAACTTTTCTTTATTTCTGGTGGGACAAGTAGGCATTTTTTAAGCATGTATCTTATATTTAACTGTTATGACCATAAACACTTTCCACTACAAAGCTTTTGTTTTTCTTTGAAGACAGCCACTCTTATGATATACAGTGTTGGGTATCAAACTGGTTCTCATCACCTGATTTTTTTTTTAATTATTTTATTTTTTGAAGCTGAGGATGGTGCCCTCTTGGGAAAAATTGAAAAAGTGCGGGTTCTTCGAAATGATCGTCGAGAAGGTAGGCTTAATCTGCGGGAAGGCAGATACAAATTCCACTGTGCTGTCTTACCTGTTAGTCTTCATCAAGTCTTTTAAACTAACATTCTGCTATACATTCCATATCGAAGGGGGGATTTTCACTTTATAAATCAACTTTCTAGTGGAAGAAATAAAAACAAATGCAATTGTGCAAGTAAAAACAGTAATTCTGATAAATTCCGTATTGTTGTGTGTGCAATTGCCCATTGTTGGCTTTCATAGTGAAAGCTGACTTGAGAAATTGCCTTTCACCCTCAACCTCTCCTTTCTTTTACTATACTGAATCCTGAGTTAAGCTGCTCCCATTGTACGGAAGGTCTCACTGTAAACTGTATGAATATTTGAAATGATCCAGCTTAAAAATAGCCCTCTTTTTTGCTGGTTCCCTTACTAGACATCATTTTAAGGATCCAGTTGATGGACAGCCTGGCAAACAGTTTGTTTGGCAGACTTGAGAGGATTTGAGCAGCCAGGAGGGCTGGGACCACATATGCCAGTTTTGCTGAAGCCAGTGTGCTATGTAACAAACTTGTCTTACTTTTTTGTTTTCTTTGTTACTTTGTAAATTATGGTCTTTATCACTGAGCCCTTCAGGCAGCAGCTTCCTGGCTATGGATCTTAAAGTATTAGATATAGGCAACTGTTATGCTACAGCTGTTTGAAATAATAACTGAGAGTTGACAGTTGAAATAGCTGACTGAGTTAGCAGATATGTGCTTGTTTATTATAAGCACTCTATCTTCTAGGCTGCCAGCCTCGCCTGGAGAGCAGCTAGAACCATTAGATTGTCAGAAACTGGAAATTACATGTGCAAAACCTGTGTTGTCCCATAACTACAGTTATTGCAAACCGGTGGATTCTTAGCGTTTCAATGTTTTGTTTGGAATATACTTGTGAATAAAGGCTTGTTAGGAAAGCAGGCCTTCTGTGACTTGCCATGGTTGCAGGATTCTGAGTAAGTTAATGTCATTTTTCTGATCAGTACAGCACTTAAAGATGGAGATAATAGTAATGGAAAAAATGGCATGAAGTAACATCTTTTTGATGTTTATTTTTTAGTAATTATGAATATTAACTGTGTACTGCATATACAGATTCTTACTTAAACATATGCGTCTGTATATCTGAAAATGAAATACGATTTGACAAATCTTTTATTATGTCAGAAAAGAACAACTATTTTCAGATTGAAGGCATGGTACTAGTTTACTTGATATTTTTGTGAGATTAAGATTAAACTGTTACCCATGGGATCTACTGTAGTGTTCATAAAGTTTTGCCTAGGCATCCATATGTGCAACCAGGTGATAATTTTTTAAATTAAAATACTGTAAGAGTTCATTTGATTGCTGGCTGCTATGTTTGAGTTTGATACTCTGCTTTTCATTTTCAAGTGTAGACTGATACTGATATCTCAGGCACATACAAATTAAAAATTAAGAGAATCAGTAAAATCAACCAGTGTGCAGGATGCTAAGAGTAACACATTAGTATGAACAACAGAGAAAAACAGTGTGTGTTAAAACAAAAATTAAAATAAAGGGATAGTGTTTGTGGAGGGGATGACATTGACTGCCTCGCTTTCAGAAATAAGTGATAGTAGCTATTAGCCTCATCTGTAAGACCGGAGTTTGTTATGAGAACAGATATGTTTCAGAGGGCATGGTATTCTACAGAATAAATGTTCAAGGGAACCTTCTAGACTCTTTCTGTTGTAAGGCTGAATGTGATTGTAGAGGACTCAATGACCCAAGCAAGTTTTTTGGCCCTAAATCTGAAATTAGAAATGCAACTGTGTGTTTTCTATGGAAGTAGGGCGAGACAGTAGGTTCTTTAAGAAAGTAAGTTAGAAATAGTAAGCTCTGGAAGAAGGAATTGCAAAAGTAAAAGAAACATAGCTGGAGTGCTTGAGGAATGGTTTGATGTAGAAAAACTGAACGGAACAGGTTCAAAGGTTGGAATTAGGGAGACAGCATAAAAAGCAATGAGGTACAGTTAGCTGCCAATGGGCAACAGATAAGGTGTAGAAATTACTGTGGGAAAGCATCAGCATAGCACATACCTACAATGGTGAAGTGCTCACGTTTGCAGTAAGAGGCAGTACAAGGATCTTGATGAGGCTATTGCTGAATGTTGGACAGAGCAAACAAGCTTTTCCTCTTAAGCCTCTTGTATTCTGTTTGGCAGAGTCATATTTTGCAGGTTTATTTTGTAAAGGGGATGGAAAGAAGTGGGGTTGACTCTTTTACAGTGTTTCAGTTGGGGAAGGGGGAAAGGCAGAACAGATTTGGTGGGAAACAATGTAGAAAGAAAAAGGAAAAAAAGTAACTACTTGGCTTTGATCTTGAGTGACATTGAAATCAATTAATTTTGAATAGTAATAGGGAAAAGTAGGGGGGAATTTGCAAAGGAATGAGAGGAAGCTTGCTATTTTTCTGTATTGAAGTACATCATGGGATGTTCTAGGGTATGTGTGTACATATAGCAAGGGACTTTAAGGAATGGTGAGATCATCCAATGAACAAATACTAAAAGAGAAGGAATGAAGGAAAGGAACAGGGAAAATCAGTGAGGGGATCTGTGTAATTGAGTTATAGAGAAGAACCTTTACCATAGGTTTCTTCCTAAAGAAATCTTTTCAAGATAATATTTAAAAAAAAAAAAAAAAAAAAACAAACCCCAAACTACAAAACAAGAGAAGTGCAAGAAACACAGGGGAAAAGCAGTTGAAAGGGGTGGGAGGAAGGCTCTCGGATATGAAATAGTGAAGCATGGTTATTTCTGGAAGAAGTTGATAGAAGAATGGACAGACTGCGGTGAGAACTAAGATGGGGGAGGCAAAAAGGTGGGGAGGATAAGCTGATGATGGTGCTTTCCTCAGTTCTATTGTAGAACTGTTGGAAAGGTGTTTGCTTTCAGGCCCTATCTTGAGTAATATTTATCAGTATAAGTACTACTTACTGTAATGCAGACCCAGCTGTACTTGTGTATCACTTTTCAAAAAAAGTACTTTAATTCTTCTACCTAAATCAGATTGAAATCTGTAGACTATTGTGCACTAGGTTGGAAGCTTGCAGGCTATTTGTTATGAAGTCATTTCACTGAATTGTTAACTAGTATCTCATTTTGATAATGGAACTTGTGTGTTTGCCCTGTCCGAGTTATTTAATTAATGACTTGGAATACAATAGTTTCTCACTACTGTTGATTGTTTTCCTCACTAAGTACTTTAAGCTTTTTATCTTTACTTCGCAGGGCTGATGCGCTCCCGTGTCAGAGGTGCAGATGCAGCACAAGCAAAAGTACTGACCTTCCTGGATAGTCACTGTGAATGCAATGAACACTGGCTGGAACCACTTTTGGAAAGAGTAACTGAGGTTAGTAAAGAGTTCTTCTAAAGTAATTTCCTGAAGGAGTAGCTTTAAAATTTTAAAGCCATCTGGTTTATACTACATTAATTTTATGCATTTTCTAAGGAAGCTTTTCCTCTGAAGTGAGGTGATGAAGATGATCAGAGTGTTCTGTGATTAAAACCCACTTTTTGTTCATTTAATCTGTGAACACAGGAACATAAAATGTGAATATTTATTATTATCTTTACAAGCAATTCAAATATATGCTTCTTTGGTTCTTTAGGGACCTTCTCAGTAAGTGGTGAAAATCTTTAGAGCAAAATATAGTTCTCCTCACTCAATATCCTCTCAATGTAATTCAGTTTACCTGAGTATTTATGCCTCATTAAGATTCAGTGTGATAATAGGAGAGAGGTTGAGGTGTGAAACCAAAATTCTCATGGAAATTAGCAAGGCCTGTGGGCTCTCAGCTTCTATGAAAATGATGCTTGGTCTGTGTCCCGGAAAAGCAATTGAGAGGATTGAGAGTGAAAGTATGCTGTTTTCTCCAGGGGTTGGTTATACTTGTTGACTTGCTCTGGAGGAACTCAGTTGAAGTGGAAAGTGAATCAAGTGTGATCCCAAAAAGCACTGGGGAACACTCAAGACAACAGGGTTTTTCTTCTTTCTTAATTGCATTCCCTTTCTGGTAAACTCTGCTTCCTGGAAAGGCTTTCTTTCAAAATGCTCCTGGTCAAAATGGTTTTGCTAAGCTACTCTTTTCTTGTTAATGCCCAGTTCCTTGCTTATTTTCCCTATGCTTCCCTTTGCATTTCCCCCCAAAAAGGGAGGGGGGGGGGAAAAAAGGCAAGTAAAACCCATATACTCGATATGCCAATGGAGAAGCTATCAACTGATGGCTCGTTTTCCTTATTCTGTTTGGTTCTATGATGCTTTACTGTGTGTTCCAGAAATACTGTAAGTTGCCTAAGACATATCATCAGTTAAAATCCTATTTTGGAGTCGAAATAACTTTAATCAGCTCAAATCCTGGACACTATTAAAGTACCTAGAGCCTACAAAGCCCTTGAGCGTGAGTAACATAGCACTTCCTTCTATTTTTGTGCTCGTGTAAAGTGTTGCAGCTTCAGAAGGGTTGGGGGAATTTCTTTATAGTAATTAACTAGGAAAATAAACTTGAAGGCATTAAATGTATCTCAGACGGAAGTGGAGAATGCTTGCAGCTAAAGCACTAATGGATTCTAGGATATGAGAACTGTTTTCAAGTCTTTGTGTAAATGGTTTGAAGCATCTACCTGTTCAAGAAGTCAGAAGACAAATGGTAGTTTTGGTCAGCAAAACCCTGCTTTTAGTAAGACAGCTATTTTGCCATTTATCCTCTTTCTTTATGACTTTTCAGGGTATACTCATTTTGCTTTCTGAAACTGATATGGGATATGAAAAAGTGTTAACCTTTTCATCATAATAGAATGTAAAACTTCTTACTAAATTGTTGACAGTTTTGTGAAGATCCAATATTACATGTGGTGTACTTGGTGGGAGAAACTGGTGCATATTTTGCTTTGTGCAGCAGCCACTTTTTAGCAGCACATATATTACTAGATCCTTCAAAACTTACTCCTCACAATTGTCACTGTGATACACACTAATCATGTGTGCCATTGAATACTTTTCAGCTGTATAAATACAATTTTCCATTCTTAAAAGCTTGATGTACTGTTAAATAAATAACTGGTGTGGAATTCCAGTTTCCTTTCACAGGGGAAGATTCCCAAGCAACAAGTCTGGGGACTGATAAAGCAGCTTCTAAACTTTCTGCATGTTCAAATAAGTAAGGCAAGGATAGTGTCTACATAGAGTATATGATAGTTCTTTGTTATTTTAAATGGATTGATTTTGCTCACAGTGTAGATGGTATGTCACTTAATGTCAATTGGCAGCATTTTCTTGATAGTCTCAGTGACAAGAAGCTGAACAGATCTGAATTCAGTCCTGCTCTGGCCTCAAAGCTGACATTTTTCAGGTCAGGGCTACTATACATTAATACAGCATTTTCTGATGTGCTGCTGCATCTATTCTATAGGTGGTAGAAAGAGTGGGCTTTTTCTTCTTTCTTTTTGTTCCAGAATTGCCTGCTTGGCATTTAATTCTGTCAGAGTTTGGGGGATTAGTTGTGTGTGTTACAATATAAAAATTTATAGCTTCCAACAAACAGTCTGAATTGAATAATTTCTACAGTACTCTATCTGATGTGCTGTAACCGCTTTAGAAAGCTGTGTCTTTGACCTCTTGCTTGTGTTAGGAGCACCTGAGGCATCAAGCTCTCTTCTTCAGTTGAAGGATGATCCATCCCCCAGTTTTTTTCCTTTGAGATGGTTTCCTGGTTAGAGTATCTTTGTCTATTGAGCAGGCTTGCTTAGCATTCCTAGAGGGGTCTGACACTGCTAGGGATTTTTCTTCAGCAATTTGAGCAAAGGCTTAAAGCAGAAGCAGCATACATACAAGGTGAATATTTTAGAGTTCAGAACATGCAGATACTTGTGTAACCTGGAGCTGGTATATCTTCTCCTTCTTTGCTTCGTCTTGGAGAATGGTTTT